AAAAGCAACATGAACTCTTATTTCTTTAATTATATCCTGATTAGTAGTTTTTTGATTTTAAAATATAATATATGAATAAATACTAATTATAATTATTAAATTTAGTATAAAATTGATATTCAATAATTTAATATTGTAATTTAAACGGAGAATTTATAAAAATAATTAAGTTGTATTTTGCTTTATTTTTATGTGTATAAAAATTTAAAGGGCTTGATACAATAATTATCAATAAAAACTGTTTGTTACTATAAATGAATGCACTGGACTTCAAGGAACTTTCATCAGAAGCAAAAATATACTTTTCTAAATCAAAGTTTCGCGTAGTTTTCAAATCTGCAATTAGACTTTATCTATCAGTTCTAATTTTTTATATTATTACTATTTACTTATAAAAAATAATTAAAAGAAAAAAAAATTGTTTTCAAATTATTACTGATCTGATTTTTAATATGTTAAAAATAATCAGTCCAAATTTTCATTTTTAACCTATTTTTTTTTGGTTCTTTAAAATTGATGAAAAATTTTTGATAAAGATTTATGAAAGTTTATAGCAAAAAAATTGAAATATTGAAATATACATATTAAAATATGTATAATGACATACTAATAGTCCTCATTGATTGAAATTGAGCTTTTTTTTACAGCCTCGCAAAAGTTCAAAAATATGACCTTTTTTTAATTTTCTCAAAAAATATTTAACTTACAAAAAAAAATTTTGTACAAAAGTTCTTTAAAAGACAATTATAAACAAAAAAATGATCTTATATTTTTTCATTTAAACAAATATTTTTAAAGTGTAGTGTATATTAATATACAAGCGATAGAGTAGGTAATTGATTTGATGCTATATTGTTTAAACCCAACTAAATGCTAAATTGTACATTCCTTAACTACTATCATATTATGTCAATTGCCACCGGAATTTCTGGTAGTCTTTTTCTTTTTTTTTGCCTTAATACCAACTACTTGGGGTCGGCCACCCTTATTCTAAGCTTCCACTTGACACGATCTTCTACATCTTCTACGCTCACATCAGCTGTCCTCAAATCGCATTTGATCAATCAATAGCATCCCTCCATCTCTTTTTTGGTCTTCCTCTATCTCTTCTTCCTTCATCATTCATTTTTATAACTGTTCTTACAGCTTCCGATTCTTCTCTCCTCATAACATGACTAAACAATCTAAGTTTATTTTTTGTCATCTTATCCACGATTGACGCAACACCTATACATCCTCTTATATGCTCGTTCCTTATCCTATCTTCTCTAGTCACTCCACTCATCCAACTAAGCATTCTCATCTCTGCTACACTTATTCTCTGCTCTACTTTCTTATCAACCGCCCAACACTATGAACCATACATCATAGCTGGCCTCACAATTTCATACTAAATTTAAAAACTATAATTAGTATTTATTCATATATTATATTTTAAAATCAAAGAACTACTAATCAGGATATAATTAAAGAAATAAGAGTTGATGTTGCTTTTGGAATAATCCACCAATTTCTCTAAATGAAACACTATCTACAGATTTGCATCGAAGCGTTTCTTATGATAGTGATTTTAATCACTGTCAGATATCATCTATACTTGTCCCATCTATGCCTCGTTCACACTGTGCCTCGACCCCACTGTGCTACCGTTTTTTTTTAAATTTAATTATTTAATATACAATTTTGTAAAAAAGAGTATGTATATTTTAGGCTCATATTATATAATACTTTTTATTCAAATCTGTCAGAAAAGTCGTATTATCTCCCTCACGACCCAGTTGTTAAGTCATGCAGTTTAACAACCAAGGTTCACGTAGTATTTGATGGATTTGCTAAAACTACTTTTGGCAAATCTCTCAATGACATTCTCATGATTGGAGCTACGGTACAAGAAGATCTTTTTTCCATAGTTTTACGTTTTCGCATGCACCTTATTGCCGTCACTGCTGATGCAGAAAAAATGTACAGACAAATTAGAATGCATCCAGATGATCAAAAATATCAGCGGATTCTATGGAGGGGTTCTCCAGATTCTGAACTTCATCATTATGAGATACAGACGGTTACTTATGGCACGTCGAGCGCCTCGTTTAGTGCGACTCGTTCTCTCATCTATATTGCTGACGAAGCGTTAAAACAAAACCCAAATTTAGAAAAGGCTGCATATTTTATTACGAAGGACATCTACGTCGACGATTACCTAAGTGGAGCGGAAAACGTAGTGGAGGCCACTTGTCTCATAAAGGACGTCTCTAGTATACTTAGCTCAGCTGGACTAAATCTTCGTAAGTGATGCTCTAATTCAGCAGAAGTGCTCAATTCCATCGAGTGTGCAGATACTACCTCTAATTTTGTGCTCTCTATTGGCGATGATGAATTTGTAAAAACTCTTGGATTGGTTTGGTTACCTATGTCTGACAATTTCAGCTTTCGGATAAAATTTGGTGTCTCGAAACAGAAAACTACCAAGCGGTCCATGCTGGCCGACCTCAATCGTGTATTTGATCCTCTTGGTCTTGCAGATCCAGCCCTTATTAGAGGCAAGGCATTTCTACAAGAGTTATGGCAACTTAAACTCTCATGGGATGATTTACTACCTCAAGAAATGATAGATCGATGGGACGCCTTTTTAGACAATCTACAAAAATTTGATCAATTGGCCTTACCAAGAAGTATTAAATGTGAACATCCATCCTGCCTAAGCATTCATGGATTCTGCGATGCTTCGCAGAAGGCTTACGCGGCTTGCATATACTACCGTTATCAAACCCCAGATGGCCATTGGTCAAGCCGGCTGCTATGTGGTAAATCAAGAGTTGCTCCACTTAAGATTGTAAGCATTCCACGATTAGAACATTGCGCTGCTCATTTGTTGTCAGAACTTATAAGCAAGGTTGCAGATACGCTGTCTATATGTACTTTTTCATTTAATTGTTGGACGGACTCAATGGTCGCCCTCGCTTGGATCAAGGGCAACTCGTGCATGTGGAAGACATTTATCGCTAATCGAGTATCTCAAATACATGAAGTCACGAATCCAAATCAATGGCGATACGTGAACACCACACAAAATCCCGCAGATGTAGCATCAAGAGGCATGAGGGTTGAAGATCTACTTTATTATGACATGTGGTGGAATGGACCATCTTTTTTGCGACAAGAAGAAGATGAGTGGCCGCAGGAGAAATGTGACGTGAGCGTTCCAGAAAATATATTAGAGAAGAAGGTCATTAGTTTTACATTACTGACAAGTAATGAACCCATAGAAGTAATCGAGCGTTATAGTACATGGTCTCGCATGCGTAGAATAACGGCCTATCTACTTAGATTCGTGAGTAACGCGAAATCAAATTCTTCACTTCGAAGGAAAGGGTGTTTAACAACGGCGGAATTGATTAATGCAGAACGAGTCTTGATACATCAAGTTCAATCGCACACATTTTCAGAAGAGCTGAAGGCGTTATCAAGCGGTCGTCCCATTTCAACTAACAGCAAACTAAAGTCTCTACATCCATTTCTGAGTCAGGGATTAATTCGAGTAGGCGGTAGACTTCAACATGCTTCTATATCCGAATTTCAAAGGCACCCCATTCTACTACCTGCAAGGCACAAGCTAACGGACGCTATTCTCGAGCACACTCACCTAAAGTTACTTCATATCGGACCATTGGGTTTATTAGCCAATACACGTCTAAGATATTGGCCTCTAAACGGAAGAAGCTTGGCCAGACGCGTTGTTCATAAATGTATTACATGCTTCAGAGTGAAGCCTATCTCTCGACAACCCTTCATGGGTGATTTACCCGCAGCAAGGGTAAATCAGATGCGTCCATTTGCCAGATGTGGAGTGGACTTTTCTGGGCCTATATTCGTTCGTAATGGTTTGCGTAAGGTTGTTTTGACCAAGGCTTATATTGCAGTCTTTATATGTTTCTCCGTTAAAGCTATTCACTTGGAGTTGGTTAGCAGCCTAAGCGCTGACGCGTTTTTAGCAGCTTTAAGGAGATTTATGGCACGACGTGGTACATGTTTGGACATATATTCAGACAATGGGACTAATTTCGTGGGAGCACATAGAGAGCTAAGGGCATTGTATGCAAAGAGCTCTACTGGAAAAACTGTCCAACAAATCCTGACTGACGAGGAGATCAATTGGCACTTTAACCCACCTGGTGCCCCAAATTTTGGCGGATTATGGGAGGCCGGAGTGAAG